CAATGAATTGCTGAGGCGTCCGGGTTAGAACAGATAAAAGGAAGTACTTCTTCACCAAAGAGTGATTAACACATGGAATTCACTACCACAGGAGGTGGTGGCAGCTACAAGCATGGACAGCTTCAAGAGGGAAATAGATAAGCATATGGAGCAGAGGTCCATCAGTGGCTATTAGCCACAAGGTATAGATAGGAGCTCTCAGTCAGGGACAAGTGATGCACTGTATTCTTGGTGCCGGGGGTGGGGGGCAACAGTGGGAGGGCTTCTAGTGTCCTGGCCCCACTGGTGGACCTCCTGATGGCACCTGGTATTTTTTGGCCACTGTGTGACAGAGTGTTGAACTAAATGGGCCATTGGCCTGATCCAACATTGGCTTCTCTTATGTTCTTATGTTAATGCCAAGACCATGGCCATACAGCCCAGAAAATCTACAACAACTAAAGTTCCCGTTTAAAACAGCTCACCTGGTACCTTCTAGAACTGATGCATATAGTAGAGTACCTCCTACCCTATGGAATGGGCTCCCTGAGAAGGAACAGGAGGCACCATTTCCAAAATATTTTTGAGGCACTGCAAGACAGTGTTTTTTTCTTCACTAGGGTGTTTATGACGTGTAGGCTGCATGCATTTCCTTGGGAAGGGGTATTAATAACAGGTTTCATTGCATGGAACTGTACGCCACCTGGAGCCATAAGGCAGGCTATAAATATTTTTAAAATGTTTCCTGCAAACACCACAGTACAAAAACAGGTTTTTAAAGGACTAGAAGAAAGGAAGCATGCAATAAACAGTGTGGGTTCATTATATCATGTATGTTCATATCATTCAAGGGTTCGCATTATTTTCCACAGAGAAACAGGAACCAATTTAAAGTATTAGTGCACTAGACATTCAACATACCTGAGCACTGTAATTTTGTTCATGTGCTGTTTATAACAGCATACAAGTTACATGACAGCAAATCAGATGCCTCTCTCTAGGTCGCAGGATTTTCTTGGCAAGACCTTTCATGCTAAATGTCAACTTTTATGAAATAGGAGAAAACCGAAATTATGACTGCTTCCCCTCCAATAATGTGACCAATTGGATTCTGAAGAGCTCCATAGATCTCGGGTTAGTCTTCTGCAGCCTCAAATAACAAAAGTCTGAAGCAGCTACACGCACCCGAATCTTGCATCTGTTGAACTTCCCCCTGCTGCCACGAAAGGGGGGGGGGGAGAACGACAGCTGTCAACGAAGGCTTGCAATGCCCACCCAGTTACGCTCGCTCCGATCCCCTCCACAGTCTCTTACCCCCGAGTTGCATCCTACGTCCAGACCCAGAAGCGGACCCCCACGTTGATTTGGGAATAAACGGCTCAGTAGCGCGGTAGGAAGTAGGCGAACGCGTCCCTCCGGTGGGTGGAAGCGAGCATAATCGGGGAAGTTCCCATACGGAGCTGCCCCACCGGGCAGAACGGAGGGTTCCATACTCTCAAGCGCTTTGCGACAGTCGCTCATGGGCGCCGCCATGTTGGGACCGACAAGAAAGAGAGTCCGAATGGGAAACAATGAGACGCGGAAGAAAGGTTCCGGGAAAAGGACAGATTATTATGAGAGGGTGACCCAAAGGCATAAAAAAGACTTGGTCTGTTTGCTTCTGTGGGGTAGTTTCTAGTCCATGCGGGGAGTAGGCTCGGATAGTCTTGTTACGCCTCCCACAACCCAATATAGCAAAGGCAGCTTGTTCCTTGTAGTAAAGTATAATGAGTGTATTTTAGTAGTGTCGGACTAGAATTTGGGAGAGCTGAGTTAGAATTGAGGCTACTGGGCTTTTTATTATTTTGGGTGACCTTAGCGATTCTCAGGAGGAGGATAAAATGGGGAAGGAGAATCATCATCATGTCTGCCTCATTCCGTTTCTTAGAGGAAAGATTGGGTAAAATAATGCATTAAATAGACAGTGGTACAAACACTATCAGTTGAAACTAAAACTTTGTAAAAGGTATGAAGTGTTACATTCAGTTGACTTGGCAGATCCCAAAAGCAGAGTTGCCAGCAGTGGCTTAGGAAACACTTGTAGATCTGGAGGGTGGAACCTGAGGAGGGTGGGGGTTGGGGAGAGACTTCAATGGGGTATAATGCCATTGAGTCCACCTTACAAAGCAGCCATTTTCTCTAGGTGAACTGATTTCTGTTGCCTGGAGATCAGCTGTAATTCCAGGAGAGCTACAGCCACTACCTGGAAGTTGGCAACCCTGCCCAAAAGCAATAGGGATTATTACAAAGCGAGTCCAGAAGGCCCAGTCTCCCAGGACAAAGTGTGTGGCATCTGATATATATAATTATCCTAATGTGTTGGCCATTGCCAGCTCTCCCATTGGCTGTGCTGTGCTCTCCATCAGCCATTAGCCCATCAACCGCCACTCAAGAGTTCTCGCATGCCATTGGCTGGGTGCTGGGTCTGCTCCTCTCCCCCGCCCACTGTCAGCCTGCACACTCTTTGCTCACAGAATAAACTGCCAAAACAGCTGTCTCTCCTGACAAAGACACTTCTTCTGCTTGGCTCCTGTGGGATTAACTTTTTCCTCAGTGGCTGTTGCTAGGCAACCAAGCTTGGTTCTATCAGTAAAGAGGCAAAGACAGGAGACCCTTTCCAGGCCTTTGTGGGGAACTCATTGGGGCCAGTCCTGACTAGGGTTGCCAGCTCCATGTAGGGAGATTCCTGGAGATTTTTCTGGTAGAGTTTATGGAAGCCAGGGTTTGGGGAGGGGAGAGGCCTCAACTGAACAGAATGCCATACAGCCCACCTTCCAAAGCAGTTACTTTCTCCAGGGGGGAGAGGTCTGTTGTCTGGAGTTCAGTTGTGATACCTGGTGATCTTCAGGCTCCACGTAAAGGTTGGCTGCCCTAGGCGTAGCAATCAGCACTTCAGAGCAGGGTTTGCTAGATCCAGGTTCTTGCTGTAGAAGCCGAGTGGTTATTTTGGACCAGTCACAGACTTTCAGCCTAGCCTACCTCACAGGGTTGTTGTGCAAGTCAAAAGGTGGAGAGGAGAATGATGTAAGCTGCTTTGGTCAACCATTACAGAGAAAAACTACCTTTCCTCCTGGGGTGGAGCCTGGAGAGGGTGAGGTTTGAGGAGGGCTGGGACCTCAGACAGGTACAATACTATAGACTCCACCCTCCAAACCAGCCATTTTTTCCTGGGTAACAATTGTTGCCAATCTCCAGGTGAGGGCTAGAGATCACTGAAAATTATAACTGCTCTTCAGGTAACAGAGATCAGTTCCTCTGGAGAAAATGGTGGACTCTGTGTCATTATACCCTGCTGAGGTCACCACAGCACATTGACCCTGAGTGCCCAAGGCCTTGGCACTCTCCCAGAGCCTCTTTCTAGAGCTCATTGTATTTATTTCCACCATGGGCCTTATTCCTCGTTTCATATAAAGCAAAGATGAAAAAGAGTGACTAAAAATGAATTAACAGAGAAAATAATTATTATTATCGTATGGTGTTGTGTGTGGTATAGCCAGGAGATCCAAAGATTATCTGGCTGCCTTAAGTAGTAGAAGAAGAAGAGTTGGTCTTTATACCCTGCTTTTCACTACCCGAAGGAGTCTCAGAGTGACTTACAATCTCCTTTCCCTTCCCCTCCCCACAACAGACACCCTGTGAGGTAGGTGGGGCTGAGAGAGCTCTTTTGAGAACTGTTCTTGAGAGAACAGCTCTGAGAAAACTGACTGGCCCAAGGTCACCCAGCTGGCTTTGTGTGGAGGAGTGGGGAATCAAACCCAGTGCTCCACATTAGAGTCAGCTACTCTTAACCACTATACCATACTGGCTCTATTTAGTGTTATGCGCCACTAGATGACAAGCTAGACTTATTTTTTGGGCTGACTGAATGCTGTGAGTGACCCAAGGTCACACAGCTGGCTTCATGTGGTGGAGTGCAGAATCTAACCTGGTTCTCCAGATTAGAGTCCTGTCTCTCTTAACCACTAGACCACACAGGCTTTCATTAACAGAGAAACAGAGAGTATTATGCTCAGCCAAAGTTTTCATTTATTTCCATATATAAGAAATAGGTCTTGTGGCTTCAGTAGATTTGTTGCAGACTAAGATATTTTTTAAACTTAAAAATCAAGTTTGGTACATAATGGAGCAGACAGAGAGGAGTGATAGAAGCATGGAGGTTACAGTCCTGTGAAGTTACTTGAGAGTAAGTCCCACTCTGAATGCAGTGGGATTTCTTTCTGAGTAAAGCAGGCTGCATGCATAAAAGAGCTGGTGCTCAAAAACAAACATAATCTATCACACAAACAACACCCTCCATATCACAGTCCCCAACCATGCTTCTTATTACCACAAACATCACAATATTTGAATTTGTGGAAACAAGTTATTGAGATTAAATGCTGTGATATGTTGCTAGTCCCCCCCCCCCCTGAAAGTGTGAATGTTAAACTAGCTGTTATGGGCACACACCCACTGTGATATGTTGCTAGTCCCCCCCCCCCTGAAAGTGTGAATGTTAAACTAGCTGTTATGGGCACACACCCACACCATCAATGAATAAAAACACTGCCTTTTAAAACTCATATTACAAAACTCCTGTAAGAGGCACACAGAACAGCAAGCCATAAATTAATGTAGTTTAATGAGAATGGCATACATATTGAAGGTTGTGTCTTTTGACCAATTTGGATTGGAAATAATTTTAAAAAGCCAAATCCAGCCTGGATACATTTTTCCTGAGTTTGCACTGTGGAAGCAGTGATTCCTGTGATGGATTTGAAACCATGCCATGATTAGAGGGTCTGTCGAAGATCTGAAAGACCTCGGCTTCCAATCTCTGCTGTGCCATGAAGCTCACTAGATGAATTTATATCAGTCATTCTTTCTCTACCTAGCCTACCTCACAGGGTTGTTGTGAGGATAAAAGGGGAAGGGGTGAACCATACATATTGCCCTGAGCTACTTGGAGGAAGGGCAAACTAAAAAGGCATGAGTTAGAAAATTAAATGAATCTGGATTAGAGTTCTTTTACCTGACTATGGTCCTTTCCGCACTTGGATCTCATCCCTGGTTTTATCAGAGTTCAACTTGCGACACAATACCTTGCATTTATCCCTGGTTATAACAGCATCCGTTTATCCCGGGACAAATGTGGGGTGAAACCGGAGTGACCTCAATGTAATGTGGAAACAAAAAATACCCCGAGATAATTTCAGGGGTGAACTCGCGTGCAGTGTAGAATGTAAGTTCGGGGACAGGGTTGAACCAGGATTTAAGGTCTAGTGCAGAAAGGACCAATGACTCTTCATAACAGTTGTTTATACACAGTCTATAAGAGACTTTAGTTTTCTCTATCTGATCTGGGGGGAAGTGTTAAAGGATAGAATACAAATGTTGATTCTCAGAACCACTAATTTGATTTTGTGTGCCCGTGTGACGGCCCGCAGGATTTGACTTGCCATGTAAAGTATGGAAGATGGCTAATAGAATACAAACAGGCTTTGGCAGCTGCACTGACCTGTTGTTTAAATGGGGCAAAATACCAGGACCCGAATGTGATTGTGGTGCAGCACGCCGAAATATTTTCCATCTGCACATAAATGTGAGCATCGTGCTTTCCAGGGAGATGTGATGGAGCTCTTTGAACTCTTCCCAGCTGTGACTGAATGGATTAAAAATTTAGATATTAGTATTTAGGGGGATTGCCCAATCGGCCTGCATACCCATTGTATCAACTTGGTTATGTATTTTATATTATTATATGCTTCCTTTGTATAACTCTGCCATACGATAAATAAATAAATAGAAGTGTTTGTCATAATAGGGACTGTTTCAGAACCCCAACGAGGTTCTCTGGTCATGATACAGAATAAAAAATAATAATAAACTGGGGAAACAATCTGTTTGATGTCAAATTGACAACTAGAGGGAGCAAAACACACGCAGAACAGGGGTGGGAACCCTGAAGAAACAGGAACTTGAGAAATAGTAAAATGAGAATGCAGAGAAGCCCACAGTCATCGTCTGTTTTAACATTCAAAATATCTGATTATCAAGCTATACTGGGCAGATGTCAGTCATTTTGATGGGACTGCATGTCTTCATTCTTAGGTCTCACTCCAGAGCAGAAAAGAAAGTTACCCAAGGTGTTGTAAAAGGTAAAGGTAATGGTTCCCTTGCTCGAAAGCCAGTCGAATCCGACTCTAGGGTTGCAGTGCTCATCTCCGTTTCAGAGCCGAAGAGCCAGCGCTGTCCGAAGACGTTTCCGTGGTCATGTGGCCGGCATGACTAAACATCAAGGCGCACGGAACGCTGTTACCTTCCCACCGAAGTGGTACCTATTTCTCTACTTGCAATTTCTTGCTTTCGAACTGCTAGGTTGGCAGGAGCTGGAACTAGAGACAGGAGCTCACTCCGTCATGCGGCACACTCGGGTCTCGAACTGCTGAACTACTGACCTTCCACAGCCTGCAGTTCAGCGTCTTAACCACTTGAGCTCCTCAAGGTGTTGTAGG